GGGAGTGAAGAACCAAACTCCACTCCTCATTTTAAAAATGAAATTACCTTTTTCCCCAATCATGCAGAAAGTATCAGACTTAGATAAGAATTTGTCTTTGGGGGGGGGAAAGCATACTCCTTTTTACAAATTACATTTGATGCATTTTATCCCACAGTCACAGAAATATACTTAGCGGTTGTGCAGATGAGAACGGAGGTCAACTAGAGTAGTTCCACTTTTATGTCTGGTCATCAATATGCTGCAAGTAAACAAAAGTTTCATAAGATTCTCTTCATACTTCACATTTGCGGCTAATTCATTCTATGGTAAATAACCTTTACAGAATTAACACTCAGCAGGTTATTTCACTCATTATATACTTTTACAACCAGAGGCAAACATCAATACCACAAACTGCTTTGTGGCTCTTTATAGTCTCACATATATTTCAGCCACTTACATAAAATAGTGCATAAATGCCATCATTTCCCAAATCAAGGTATAAATTTCCAAACTTAAATTGATCTTCAACTGTCCTTCCATAATGAAGATATAATTATTGTGAAATAAGGCTCCAGAAAAAATGGGAAGGAAGTCAGCTGCTTTTTTAAAGGGTAGGGAGGAACCCATCAAAGTTAATAAACAGCATGAAATTTGTATTATAAAGACTTTATTGTCTTTATCATGGGAAGACCTGTGCAGTGTAACTCACTCTGCCTATATATGCCTTGTGACTAATGCAGCTGTCTTAATCTAGCATGTTTATTGATTATTGTTTCAAAAAGAAAACCAAGCAGGAGTATTTCCCTTCTCAAGTTCATAAAACAAAGAACAGTTCCTACAAAGAGCTAACCTAGCTTTGATGGTTTCTACTCTCCTATATTTGTACTATTGTTTGCAAGAAATTTCATTAACCAAGTGTACAGTCCAAGATAAATCTATATATTTAATTTATTTAATCCACATGGAGAGATGGTGTCTTTAAGTTTTTGCTGTTGTTTGTGAGACAAAATTTTAGCAGGTTTCCATATCTGGCTGAGAATGTGTGTTTGCATAAATATGTTGACATATACCTCTTCACATGATAAGATACTTCAGATGACAGAACACAAGAAGAACCCTGCAGGATCATACAAAATGGCCATCTAATCCAGCCTTGTATTTTGCATCCGAGTTACACAGTGTAAATCTCTGTATGGTTACCTGTGGATCATGCAACAGCAATACTGTGCAACTGAATGCAAAGCTGGCTGTGCAACTGAATGCATACCTGAATGAGCATGCATGCACCTCCTCATGTGCATCTGCATGTATAGCATCACTGCATGCAAAACTCTGCTTTCACAACTTTGAACTGAGTGCTGACTTTTGCATTAGGCAAAAATGGTCACTCAGTTCTGTAGGGGAATTTACACATGCATGAGAAAAGCAACAGGATTCCAAGGATCATATCCAAACAGATGTCTCCTGGATATCTGCCAGCTGAGCACACAAGCAACAGCTCTCTTGCACTGTTGCTTTTCCTTCTTCTGAACATGGAAGTACATATGGCCATCCTGACTAGTAGCCGTTGATAATCTTATCCTCCACAAATATGTCTGATCCCTTTTTAAAACCAGCTGAGCTGGTGGCCATCATCACATTTTCGGATAGTAATTCCTTACAACAGTTATGTGCTCTGTGAAGAAATGCTTCCTTTTGTCTGACCTGAATCTCCTGTTAATCAGTTTCACTGGATGTTTTTGTATTAATATATTAAGGGATGGGGAGAAAAACTCTGTGTGTCAATTCTTCCTTGGCACCCACATACACACACTGTACAATACTTTTATAAACTTCAGTTCAAATTTTATAAACTGCTACTTTAGACAGTCATTCTAAGCAGTTTAAGATGCCCCACTGTCACTTTTAAACCAATCTTATAGCACAATTAGGCAACTCTTAACTCATCCCTTGGAGAACGTCAGTGTAAAACCATGATGAAAAATAGCACCACAGTCATTTGATTTTATTCAGTAATGGTGAGCTACATGTAAATTGAGGTTTGCTCATATGGATTTACTAGAGCATGTGTGTGCAGCTACTGTGGCAGGAAAATTCTAACCTTTAATGAAATTTTCCATCCTTCCCCAAATTTCTAGCACTATGGAGAAAGGGACCATGAAAATTGTTACCACCTAGAACTCTTATATTTGCTGTGTTTGCCTTCCCTTGGTTAACTTTGCCTACCTCTTTCCTTTGGATACCTGAGCTGTATTTCTAAATGTAGAAATTTTGAGGAGGTTAGATTTCGTGGGAGGGGGATGTCCTCATTTTGCCCCTCTTCCCAAGAGCTACAATCCTGCCATACCAGATCAGGACCCTTTTAAAAAGGGCACAATGGGCAATTGCTCTTGGCCTCACATATGATCGGGGCTTCATGCATGGAGAAACCACAGCAGCATTAGCCTCATTGTTACCTGCTCATTTCTTTCAGGACTTCACCAACTTCAGGTCCATAAATCTGATAGGGAAAAAGAAATCATAAAACAAACTCTACAAATGACAGTGTCCTTTTGTTATCAGGTTGTATCAGCAAGATGGTTACATCAACAGGCAGGGCTAATAGTAACAGTAACCCAAACCAAACCATAATCAACAAAGGACCTTACTTGAACCTTCTTTTTCTCGCCATTTAACCTGACGATAGCTCTGTGAGGAAGATTAGGCTGTCAGTGACAGTCACCTAGTGAGTTACATGGCTACGTGGACACAAGACCTTGGATTTCCAGAGTTTCAGTCCACCACTCTGTTACACAACAATGACCCCAGGGAGAGGCCTCAAAGGACCTTCTGTCTCCAAGGATCTCAAGTGTCTTAAAAAGATCCCAAACTGGATGCAAACCTACTGCTACAGGTGATCTCTTATCTATTTGCCTAGGAATCCCAGGGGATGGAAAATTTACCTTTTGGGGCCACAACTCCCCAAAGCCCTCTCAGTGTTTCTGAGAGAGTTCCTAGGAAATGCAATCAAAAGGCAACTTAAAAAACCTCTGGGTACCATTTTCAAACTCAGCTAGGGGAGGGACTTGTGCTCCCCCTCCTTCAAGCAAGATATTTCTCCATAGTTTGGCAATAGCAATTACTATGAGCCTTAGAACTTACAAGGCTACTGAAACCGTTCTGAGGCACCTAACCTGGCCTATCTCCGTATAACAGTGCAGAACAGTTGCAGAGCAGGAACACCGTCTTGTTTATGCATCCACCTCTCAGGAATTACCCACTGCTGCTGGTATTTATTTAGAATTACTGTCATAAATATGGCAGTTTAACTGCTCACACATTAGGGTTTCCTTGACCTCAGTTAGTCTTCAAAGCATGGAAGAAACCTTCCTGGAGGCAGAAAAACCATTTAGGTTTGTGTGTTGTTCCGCTTTCTTGCCTCTACTGCCATAGCAAGCAATACTGAGAGCCACTGTTGGTGACAAGATCTTCTTAGCTGCAAATCCTACCCGTCTGTTTGTTTTAAACAAGATGGTTTAATCATTTTGGGTGCCATCTGCATTGCCTTTTAAGTGCAGTCGCTGCTTCAACTCCAGAAAAGCGCTTGCCAAATCCATTCGCTTTTAAACAATCTGGGTGCTGCTGGATCCAATGCTTCTGCAGGCTCCCTCAGTGTTTCTTCAGTTATGTGTCGTTAGATCAGAGTGGACAATGTGTGGGACAGCAGAGGCTACTGGACTAAAATCCCCATTGTTTCTATACACTATGGGATTATGGAACCTATTATCCTGACGACTACATCTGGAGGGCCATACATTGCCAATTCCTACCCCCAGGTAGTTCTAGAGCAGATGTGAGGGAAATGTCATCCACAGGCTGCACATAGAAGTGGTTTTGTGGACCCTGTGGTCCATTTTTTAATCGTCTGCCCCAGACACCCCCAGGGGACAATTTCTCCATACAATTGGCTCTCCATATCCACGGATTCTTTATCCACAGATTCAACCATCCATGGCTTGAAAATATTCCAAAAAGATCTAAATTCCAAAAAAAGCCCTCAGTAAGTAGGTAGGTGTGTGTCTGTCTGTATGTCTGTATACCAGCTTTTTTAGGCCCAGGATAAGCCTTTTCTCGTAACAGAAATCGATAAGTTGAACTATAGAGGAACATTTGGGAGACTTTTAAAAAAGAAAAAGAAAAGTAGGTGCATTCCTGCAAGTCCCCCAGTCTCCAATACTGCCCTAAACCCTCCTGAGATGCTCACTCTATTCTAAGGCTCCTAGATCTAGACATCTGACCTAGAAGGGCATGATTGACATGACCTAGGACGTTATCAC